TATCATTTTGTTGAATTCAACTGATAATGAGAAATTTTTACATGAGCTTTGCTGAATGTTCTTATCATTTGACTGTTTGTGAGTGGCAAGCAATTTTATTATACAACCACTTAAAAACAACCAGAGAGCGTAAAGGGAATGGTTTAAGCATACAGATTGCACTCTAATAACAATAGCAACGTTCCGGATCATACTTTCAGTGAAAATATCCAAAAGATTAGAGGATGTGTAAGTGTGATATAATAACGTGAAGAATTGTCTTTTTGGGATTGGAAAATATGACTATTTCACTGTTGCCTTTATAACAGAGTTAATTTGGCAATTAACTTTTTCGCAAACACACACACACAGATAAACAAAACAATAAATAACTCTAATAATCAACAACACTTTCAAACGTCTTCACTGCTTCCATCAGCACTTGTCGGTGATATCATCGGTTCCTTTTCAGCACTCGCACTACTTCTTGATTTTGCGTTTGATTCGTGATTTACGATCATTTCCTATTGATTTCATTGTTAATATTTCAATAGTAATTACACGAGTTATTATTATTACTCGAGCATCGGGTGGTTGTTTTGTTGATCGCTGTGAGCGATTGGCGGAAGATTTATTTTGTAGAGCTATTATTAATTATTGGATTGGTATTTGACTAATCGTAAGTTTAATTATGCAAACTATTCACGGCAACTAATTTAATACTCGGTTGTATTCACTTGGCCTGCTCGCCTAGCCAGCTGGATGGCGTCAATCAAGTCTAAAACAGTGCGAACGGAAACGCGAGCACTGTGGCCAACAACGTTACAAACGTTTGATAGCCTGCTTGCCAATCCAGGTAATCCAAGTAAAAAGTAATTACAGAAGACAACCACTTGATACGACAATAAATAATTTGTCTTTTCAAAACGTAAATTTTAACCAAAACAACGAATACGTTCACAAGCAGCAAAATTCTCAACGATCGAAATCAGTTGAGGGACGAGAAAACTCGAAAGCTTACCTGTCTTCGCACAGCCGTATAAGCTGCAGAACCGACCAAAACGACCGCATTGCTAACCCACCAGAAGAACGGTTTTACTTCGTTCCAGTAAGATACCGCTATCACAGTCTGTGCTGCTGCCTTCGCTGTTCCACTGATATTATGTGTCAGCGGTGAAGTTACCTGCACAATACATGGATCATCTTTCTGATTTAGATTCGTTGATGTATCTCGAATGATTGTTCATTGAATCAGGCATTACTATAGATCTGATTAAATATCACTGCAGTATCGCTAT